TGGTGTGTTTGGAGACATAACACTGGCAACAACCGAAATTAGTGAGCACTTGCATGTAGCTATCTGTGCTTTCCATGTGTTATCTCATCTACCCCTCAAAACAACACCACAAAGCAGGTAATATTCCTATACTCATTTTCTTATAAACAGATGAGATGCTAAAGTGACAAAGAAGTTCACTTGCTCTAGAGTCTCTAGTGTATGAGTGATGCGGCCAGCCTTTGAACCCAGGAACTCTAATTACAGAGCCTGAATATTAACTACCCCACTGGTCCCCCCAAAGTATGGTCCCTGGACCAGCAGCATCAGCATCACCTGGGAACTTGTTAGATACACAAATTCTTAGACCCCATCCTAGATCTACTGAATCAGAAACTCTGGGAGTGCAGCCTGGCAATTCATGTGTTTTAATGAATTCTATAGAGGATATGAGAACCACTGAACAACATTGTAAGAAACCCAAACAGGAAGGTTCCAGAATCGGGACTACCTTGGGAATAGGTGTGTGTGTGTGTGTGTGTGTGTGTGTGTGTGTTGAGGGGGGAGTGCTGGCAGCTTCAGTGATCCCCTTTTGAAAGGAGGGAATCACCATCACAGCCCCAAAATGGAATTTTTTTTTTCAACGTTTATTTATTTTTGGGACAGAGAGAGACAGAGCATGAACGGGCGAGGGGCAGAGAGAGAGGGAGACACAGAATCCGAAACAGGCTCCGGGCTCTGAGCCATCGCCCCGACGCAGGGCTCGAACTCACGGACCACGAGATCGTGACCTGGCTGAAGTCGGACGCTTAACCGACTGCGCCACCCAGGCACCCCTGGAATCTGCTTCTTCCTTGAACTGTTTGGTTGGTCAACCTTCTTCAAGCAGAAGCCTGTGTGGTACTTCTCCAGGCCTTACCAATAGATGACTCAGTTCTCCTCATTTGAGGAGAGTCCATAGTCTGCCTCCTCTGGCCTGAGGATTAGCTACTGATCTGGCTTGAATTGATCAGAGCTTCTCACCTTAGGCATCCAAATATGGCTTTCAGCAAATCAGGCAGGTTTCCTTTAGAATTTTCAAACATTTGGATTTTATCTAACTTCTAATAGTGTTTCTAAAGGACTTTTAAGTAGTCTAAAAAATCTGTTTTCGGGACACCTGGGTGGCTGAGTCAGTTGAACGTCCGACTTTGGCTCAGGTCACGATCCCGCAGTCTGTGAGTTGGAGCCCCGCATCGCATCGGGCTCTGTGCTGACAGCTCAGAGCCTGGAGCCTGCTTTGGATTCTGTGTCTCCCTCTCTTTCTGCCCCTCCCCCACTCATGCTCTGTCTCTCTCTCTCTGTCAAAAATAAATAAACATTCAAAAAAAAATTTTTTTAATCTTTTTAAATGCTCTATGCAAACTCCCAAGACAATATTCCATAAGAAATGGCATTAATTGTTCTGATCTAAAATGCCAACAATTGTAAGATCCCTTAGACCCCATCCCTTGATTGTAAGTGTAATTTACAAGGTCTAGGAGAGGCAAAAAGTAGGACAGGAATTTATAGAGGAAAAGAACATTCAAAGTCCAGGTAACCCAGTCCTAGGCTTGGTTAGAAGAAAATTAGCCTTCCCTTAGGCATTGAGGGCCACTGTAAGCTGATGTCCAGAACAGTGGGCGGGCATTCTGGACAACTTACGACCAGGAGAAAGAAAGAAAACAAGACGTAGAAAGAGGAACAAAAGAGAAAGAAGGAAGAGGAAAAACAAATAGCCAAAGTAGAGGTTTTAGAAACCTCAGCGAAAGTCCTAGAAATCCTTTCAGATGGGTGCAAACTAGATGAAGATCCCCAAATTCCCTTCTCTTGGCCTTGACTTGCTTGAGCAACTTATCTCCAGGATAAGGGAAACTCTGGAGATTAATGAGGAATAATACATGCTTCCCATCCCCGTACTGCCTTGGCTTCCCAACGGATTGCATTTTTAGTGGCTGGAAGCACCCAGCTTCAGTATTTTAAATATTAACTTCTTTTTTAATTTGGGTCACCTCTGCCTCTCTTACTGGTCAAAGAGGCAAACTATTAGGAGGCAAGTTTATGATCAAATGCAAAATAATGCCCTTGTAATATGATGGAACCTAGTGGCAGGACACTGTGTCTCTTGAGTTGTGTCATTTCCTTGGAGCCCTGCACAGTGTGAACAAGCTCACTTCCACTTTTCCTCTCCTAAAGAATTTGCATTTTGGCTCATCAAGGCATCCTTTTTCCTGGCAACTGCGGGACCACATGTGACTTCACAAAAGCTGCATGAGCTGATGCCAGATGGCCACCTCTAAGCCAAGTCTCCTTCAAGATGGCTGAGTACAGAGAACCAGAGAGTGGTTTCTGAGGACAGCAGGTAACCAAGCAAATAGTAGCTGTCTACAACTCACCCAGATGCTTCTCTCTGGCCATACCACATCCTTAGAAATACAGCCTGTGACTAGATTGAGATGATCCTCAATTCAGGGAAAAGATCCACATGACTTTGGACTGCAAGTAACTTAATCCCTTTGAGCCTGATGCACCAACTATAAATGTGAATAATAATACAGACTTTGTAGGGTTATTGGTGGAATGAAATAAAATGTACAAGCATCCAGCATAGCAGGAAGTTTTCCACAAATGTCAGATATGATGATGATGATGATGATGACGAAGAAACGTCTAGATCCTTTCTTGATCTCTCTAGCCCAGGCTTCAGAAGGTTAAAAAGAGCCCTCAATTGTCACTGAAGTCAGTGGCCCAGGAATACAGAGTGTGAAGAATATGCAAAGGTTGGCTTTGGAGAACTTTGCTAAGGGTAACAGTCACAGCCAAGGGCTGACAAAATAACTACTAATATTTACTGAGTGCTCATTATATGCTAGACAATTTTTTTTTAAGTAGGTTTCGTGCCCTGCACAGAACCCAATGTGGAGCCCAACTCAAGCTTGAACTCACCACCTGAGATCAAGACCTGAGCTAAGATCAAGAGTCAGATGCTTAATTGACTGAGCCACCCAGGCACCCCTATGCCAGGCATTTTTAAGCTTACAAGTTTTTTGTTTTTGTTTTTTTTTAATTTTTTTTTCAACGTTTATTTATTTTTGGGACAGAGAGAGACAGAGCATGAATGGGGGAGGAGCAGAGAGAGAGGGAGACACAGAATCGGAAACAGGCTCCAGGCTCTGAGCCATCAGCCCAGAGCCTGATGCGGGGCTCGAACTCACGGACCGCGAGATCGTGACCTGGCCGAAGTCGGACGCTTAACCGACTGCGCCACCCAGGCGCCCCTAAGCTTACAAGTTTTAAAGCATTTAGTCCTCACAACTGCCCCCTGGAAAAAATACTGTTCCCACTTTTTTCTTAGGAGGAAACTGAGCCATAGAGGGGTTAGGTAACATGGACAGGATCACACAGCACGAAGCCAACCCCATCTGGTTTGTCTCCACAACCCATGTTCTTTACAGTCTCTGCAAGAGGAAGAATTCATTTAAGCCCACAAAATCATACCTTTCTAGACCGGGAAGAGATCTCATTTTGCAAAAAGACTCAGAAATGGAAGTGAAAGTTAGAAAGGGCAACAGGAGGAGTGGTGTTGGGATAAGTATCCCAGCCAGGTTCGAAATGAAGTTCAAGGCCTGAAAGGGGGCAGGCTTTGGGATCCCCAGGAGGAGGGAGAATGTTCTCTGCAAGGCAGCGTATTTATAGCTCATGGTATCTTTCTGGTAAGTGAACAAGACAAGGAGCAGGCAGAGGTATGGAACACAAAAGGAAAAAAGACAGTTATGTCTATGAAGAATGGAACATTGGCCAGTGGATCAGAATGGATGTCAAGAGTAGATGTCAACCTCTAGGCTTATTTATCCCTGACATGACAGATAGGTGGCGCAAATGGGAAAAGCCCACCTGAATCCTTAATTTTCCAGCCTTGATTCTAGAGTGAGTATTTATAAAATTACATGGATAAATAATGACTGAATGCCTCCACCCAGTGGTGCCTCCATATTGGAAAACAACGACCTGATACTTCCCTAGGCCAGTAGGCAGGATTATCTGCAAACAGCCTATAACCATGTCCCTAGCACCACAGTAGACATTTTGGATCGTGTTAGTCTTGGTTTTTTAGACTTTTTAGTAATCTCTATCTGAAACTGAGCAATTTTGTTCATGACCAATGTAGGCCACAAAGCCACATTTTGTTAGTACCTGTGACTGTCACCAATGGAAGTCATAGATATTTTTATTTCACATTGGAGCTTTTGAAACTATCTCAATGTATCATTTATATTCCCCATTAATTTGAAATCATGGTAATTACTAGACTAGCCACTATATCTTGTTATTTAATATATTAATAAAGAAACACATATATGACTATATTACAAATTATGGAAGCAGCCCAAGTGTCCATCGATAGATGAATGGATAAAGAAGCTGTGATATATATATATATATATATATATATATATATATATATATATGCACACACACACAATGGAGTATTATTGAGAATGAAATCTCAATATTGCCATTTGCAATGACATAGATAGAGCTAGAGAGTATAATGCTAAGAAAATAAGTCAAAGAAAGACAAATATTATATGATTTTACTCATATATGGAATTTAAGAAACAAAACAAACAAGCAAAGGGGAGAAAGAGAGAGACACAAACTAAAAAACACACTCTAAACTATAGAGAACCAACTGATGGTTATCAGAGGGGAGGTAGGTGGGGGGATGGGCAAAATAGGTGATGGGGATTAAGGAGTGCACTTGCTGTGATGAGCACTGGGTGATGTATGGAAGCGTTGAATCACTATATTGTACCCCTGAAACTAATATAACACTGTATGTTCACTGTACTGGAATTAAAACAAAAAATTAATACATAAGAAAATTAAAACGTTTTTGATGATTTTATTTTAATTGGTTTCTTTCGCAATCTTATGCATTTTAGTTTTTGCGTTTAAAAATGTTATCTTGAGAAGAGTGCATAGACATAACCAGATTGCCAAGGAGTCTATGGCACATAAAAAAGGTGACAGCTCCTGGTTATTTGATGAGAGCAGGTGTCGTGCCACCCCCCCCCCCGCCCCCCATGTGGTGAAGCTCTGGCTTTCAGAACCTTTATTAGGACCAGAGCTTGTGATCCATTTGCTCTACAGGTGGAAGAAGTCTTAGAAAAATTTTAAACCCAACAATGCTTCTTCAAAGAAAAAATAGAATAAAACAACCCCAAAAGCTGAACAAAGGAAGTTCTAGGATTTTAAAGATCACTGGCTGACTGGAGGAGACAGTGGAGAAGAGGCGGTGATTCCAAGGTTTCAGTGGGACTTGAATGCCCGCCTACTATTTACTGAGTATGTGCACAAGCCAAGCACTGTGCTGAGTGCACCCCAGAGCAACCCTCTGTGATGAAGGAGATGCATTCTTTCTTTTACACTATTGAAATTAAAAGCTATTGAATCACTTGTCCAAGCCACATCGCTAATGGTGAAGTCAGGACTCAACCCAAACCCAGCCTCTAAAACAATATGCTAAAAAGTTTAAAAAAAAGAGGGGGGGGGGAGGAATTCTTCATTTGCCTAGCTGTCATTCACTTTATTTTTTGTCTGAACCTGAAGCTATTTGGTTTGTTAAAATACCCCAAGGCCAAGTGATTGAGCAATGATGTTACTTTAGCCATGTGTTTTATGTCAAAGACCTCCCTCTGGGGAAAGTCAGACATCAAGGGGGAAGTAAAGCCTTCTTACCTGGACATAATTTCATTAGGGAGCCAAATGGATGGCTGTTTGCTATTTGCTATCCAATGATTTAAGCAGTGATTTCCAGAACAGGAAGAGCCTGGGTGTAAAACTTAATTTCTTTAAGGTCCCAGTGGCATGGCCACCTGAGGCAAAAGTAGAGTGTAAACTTGGTTTGTCTGAGTCATAAGATATTGTGCTATAGTTCTTTCTATGTGTTAGATACTCTGCTAGCTGTTTTGCATTTGTGATATACTATAGGTTTTCAAAACTCATGAGGTGGATAATTCTCATTTTATAGATTAAAAAAAATACAAGTAACAGAAAGGCTGAGCAACTTACTTAAGATCTTATAGCTGGTAAGTGCTCCAAACCCCTGTCCCTTTGATCCCCAAACCTTATTCTCTAAGGGGTCTCAGAGTCCAGAGGAGTGGCTGAGGTAACAGTCTAGAGCCAGGCACTGCCCTTAGCCCACAGCTCACTCCCTAGGCCAATGTCGAAAAGGGTAGAAAGGGTGATGGAAATGTTCTGGAATTTGATCATGGTGATGGCTACCCAACTTTGTGAATATACTAAAACCTCTTGAACTGTATACTTAAAAAGGGTGAATTACTTTTATGATATGTGAATCATATCTCAAAATTTTTTAATGAATAAATTTGACATTTAACATTGTTTAAGTTTAAAGTACTTGGATACTTTTATATATTGTAATATTATTGCTGATGTAGTGATATTTATTACATTACTAAGAGTAATAATTGTAGTACAATATTATTGTCTTTGTTCATTATACTGTGCATTAGATCTCTATGGCTTATTTAGTACTCATTATTTAGACTTATTTAGTACATATTCTATCACTCTTATTCCCCCAATCCTCATCCCCTGGTAACCATCAGTTTACTCTAGTTTTTATAGGTTTAACGTTTTTAGATTCCACATATAAGTGATATCATATAGTACTTGTTTTTTTCTGTCTGATTTATCTCACTTAACATAATGTGCCTAAGGTCCATCCATGTGGCACATGAAAGAATATCCTCCTTTCTCATGGCTGAATAATATTTCATTGTGTATATGTACCACATTAAAAAAATCAATTTGGGTTGTTTCCATATCTTGGCTGTTGGGACTAAGGCTGCAATTAACAAGGGAGTGCAAATGTCTGGTCAGAGTCTTGGTTTTAGGCACTCGTTGGCCACTGCACAGACCAGGCTCTGCTCACTGGTGCATCTGGCTCTGCTTCCTCTGCAACCATGTCTGACAATCTCAGTGTGCCTGAGATTGAGAAACTCATGAAGTCGAAATTGAAGAAGACAGAAAGACAAGAGAAAAATCCACTGTCTTCAAAAGAAACGATTGAACAGGAGAAGCAAGCAGGTGAGTTGTAATGAGGGGTGTGCCATCAGCATGCACTGTATATTTCACAAGCATTGCCTTCTTTTAGCTGTTTAACTTTGTAAAATGCAAACAGATCAGATCAAATTTACGTGACTGAGCTGCCCCTTTTCACATCAAAGAATCGGGAACTACTGACAATGAAGGCTACTCCAGCCTCTCCCAT